ACCATGGGGTAAACCAAATAAATTACTGGCTAAGTGTCTTTTTGGTAGTAGAAAATGTCAGGTTAATTTCAATATTGTAACTTGTTTAGTGCTTGTGAAAAAAATTGTTAAACAAATTTTATGTACCCCCTTTAAGGGGCTGTATCTTAACAAGGGATGCTCCAATGAAGTTTCTTTATATGAACGATCCTATCTTTTTTTCGATGAGGAATCACCCCCTTAAATGTTTTACACTTATTTAGTTACACCCTGTATATATATATATAAAGTTGAAATTTTCTTGAACCTTTTGTTTAATATTAAAATATATTTATATTCTTGGGAATTGGGTTCTGGTGTGATGGTCGGTAAAAAAAAAGGATAAAAAACAGCAGCGATTTCTTTCTTGACGTTTCGTTCCTGATCAGGAACTTTTTCAAAAGGCTTTTATTATTAAAATTTTTATAATAAATAAAATTAAAACCTAAAACAATAACTTACTTAATATTTAGAATTTTTATAATTACAATTAATTTAATAAGAAAATAATTTCGTTAATACATACCTAAACAACAACCATTTTACGTCTAAATTTTAAAATATGCATCAATCGTCATACAGTGGACATAATTTCATAATATATTATCTTTTTTCATTTTAAATTTGAAAAAGGCCTGCATTTTTTAATATTGTAAATGTGTGGATAATACTTTTAGTCGGTAATGTGGTACGTGGATACGATGAAAATGAAATGAGCAGTATAATAATTATTATGATAAATTTGAACAGGTAGTACGCCTGGTGGCGAAATTTTGTAAATTAAAGACAGAAAGGACATCTAGTAATTTTATTTGAAATTATATTTTAAAAGGATAGAAAACCATTTTAAATGTGATTTGTTTATATAGACCAGGCAATAAAGAACGATTTACCCCAAAATAACTAGATTTTCGCGGCCCGGTCCGATTTTAATGCAGTTTTTTGCATTTTGTTCAGAAAGACCGTCGGAAAAAAGTCCCGCCTTTTTTATTATCCGGAAGTGGCAGAAATGCATCGCGGGTGCATAAAGTGCATCTAGAAGTGCATCGCATCCGAGAAACTTGCCAATGTGCACGAAATACCGCAAAAATTGGTACTCGGGGGTTTTGGGGGGCGCAGAATTCGAATATGCATATATCCAGTCCACCCGACCCCCCGGGGGGCGACTTCCGGCCGCCTGGGGGGCACGTGGATTGCAAGGTTCTCCGAATGACTGGAAAAATGGATCTCGGGGGTTTTCGCGGGTGCTGATTCCGAATTCGAGGGTGAAAAATATCCCGTGTGCTCGTGGAGGGGGCGGTGGGGAAGGGGGGGCTATGTAATCTAAAGTTCTCGAAATTACTGGGAAAATGTATCTCGGGGATTTTCGCGGGTGCTGATTTCGAATCTGAGGGTGAAAAATATCCCCTTTGCTCGTGGAGGGGGCGATGGGGGGGGAGGGAGTTTATAATATTCATGAACTGGTAACATGGAATAATGATTATTTTGGGGATAGAAAATTATAACGTGTGATGTTAGTGATATATTTTGATTGGATTTTATAGTTGTTTATTATAGTTGTTTGATAAATGAGCCCGTGTGACAATTAATACAGAAGGAATGTGCATTGAATATATTTTAAGACAATATATATTTTAAAACAATAAATATACTTTTATACTTTAGAACAATAAATATATTTAAAAAAATTATCAGGCTTATCCTTTCTTTTTCCAACCGAACTTTTTAGATTGAGTTTCGTCCCATGATTTTCCATTAATTTATATTCATCCTTCTTAGAAGATTAACGCCCTTCCCCAAAATAATCAGAAATAGTCATCGGACGCATTTGGCAGGGTCAGATTCTGAATCAGCACCGGCAAAAACCCCCGAGATCCATTTTTCCAGTCATTTCGGGAACTTTAGATTTCATACCCCCCTTGAAGATTATAAAAGCCATGCATGTAAATGATGTCAGCTACTTATCTTGTAGTAAACTTGCCCATTTCGAAAAAAATGCATGCACGTAGACAAAGTTTCGAATAATTCTTTACTACATTTAAAAATTAATGAT